CTCTCTCTCTCTCTCTCTCTCTCACCACACACACACACAACAATGAAAAAGATGGCAAATTCGATGGGGAAAATGCAGCCTTCAGACCCGAGGAGAAAAAGGCAGGCGTTCCTGGAGGAGCTGCGGCAGTTTCACCACAACAGAGGGTAAGGATTTTAAACCCCCGAAATATTTTTTTTAAATTTAAGCAAAAACCCGGGGGACAGGGTGGGCGAAACTTTGGACGGGCGCTTTGGTGAAGAGGAGGCGTGGGTCTGATTTATTCTTTTTTTTTTCCCCCCCTCCCCTCCTCCTTCTTGTTCAGGACGCCTTTTAAAAAGATCCCAGTAGTGGCTGGAAAGGAGCTGGATCTTCACGCTCTCTACACCAGAGTCACCAGCCTGGGAGGATTCGCCAAGGTGAATATCTTGTGTGTGTGTGTGTGTGTTTTATTTTAATTTCTTGCGGTATGTGCGTCTTAAAAATCTGTTAACACCACCCCCCCCTTCCTTTTTGGAAAACCCGCCTGGAAGGGCTGTTGTTTTATTTTAAAGGTTTACAAAAAAAAAGGTTTCTGTCTTGTGTGTGACAGTGAAGCTGTAAATGGCAGTTGTCTGTCTCTGGCCTGGCGTTGCAGTTGCTGCGGCGGCTTCACTGCGCGCACTTCAGCCAAGTCAAAATTAGCGGGCATGCTTAACATCGATAATCGTGAGTGTGCCTGGGGTAGGAAATGCTCTTCAGGGGACAGGCTCGCACCACTCGTTTGCCTTTTTTAACTCGCCGCATCGGAGGGGACGGACTTCTTCGCTGTGTCAGGCTTCGTGGTTCAGGGGGAAAATCGTAGGCCTCACATAGGCCCATAGGATGGCCAGGACGTTTGAAAATATGAACATTTATCGACCCCCTTTTTTTGTCTTCTGAACCAGGAAAGTGCTGCAAAGTTTTTGTTATTTTTTTTCGCTGCTGACCCTTTTTATCTTTCTCAAGCAAAATTGCGGCGCTGTTCGTGTTGTTAAAGCCGTTGAAGGAACAGATGGTATATTCTGCTATCTGATAATGTGTCTGCATATTAATCAGGATTATTGTGTTTTTTTTGCTGCAGGTAACTGACAAGAACAAATGGTCACAGATAACGGAGGAATTAAACTTTCCGAAAGGTTGCCCTAATGCAGCATTTGCCTTAAAACAATATTACTTACGGTGAGCTTTGTATTGTATTTTATTTTCGGTTCAAGTCAATTCTTGCTATATCTGTTCAAAGTTGGGAACAAGGGATTTAATTTAGAGAAAATAGTGATACTATTGCAAACGTTCCTTCTTATTTTGCTCTTGAAAGTGACATTTACTTTTTGTAGAAATGAAATAATAGTGCTTTTTAAGTTTTTGAAATTGATGCTTGAGCTGTTGTTTCGTTTTTGGGGTTTTGAAGTAGTACGGCGAGTTGATCTAAAATGTATTAAACTTGCAGATCAAGAAGACTACAGGTGTGACCCAGTTTTACGGTAGTTTATAGTTGAGGCGTTCCACAACATTTACAGCTGTTCAGAAACTACCTGGAAGGAAGTAGCATACATGAAACAACACAGGTGTTTTCTGTTGGTAAATTTTGTTGCCAGAACTGAATTTTTCCAAAAGCCAATCAGGGCACCGTACTTCAATTTTTTTCAAACTTTTCATCGAAAAAATTTTCTGGAAGATTTTGACAGTAATGCTTGATATAGTATGTATCTTTTTTATTTAATTGTAAATCCATAACTCTTTCAAAATAGTAAAACCAATTTGATGTGGAAGGGTTATATTTTGTAAATTGGTTGAAAGTGTGTAGTGGTGTCCAGTCTTGCTTTGTCCCAGTATTTTTATTTCCTCTTTTTGCAAGGATGGTTAATGTTGTCTTTTTTGAAAGTTATGGAAGTGAAATAATTTAATAGTGGATTCACTGAGCAGGGGCAATTTTATGGCCAAATGTCTTTGGGGCAATTTTTCATTGGATGTTGGGATTGATGGGCAGTTTGTGGATAAGAATGAGGTGAACAGGCAAATTTGGTTTAAGCATTATGAAGGTGTCGTGCTTTGGGAGTACTTAGATTCTGAAATAGTTGGCTTTGCACACTATTTCCAGTCAATAGTGCCATACAAATTTAGTGGTTCAAAATGAAATTAACATTTCAGAAGTCTTGAACAAGCAGTGCAGAAGATTTTGTCGTGATTAACTTGCACAATGTTTAAAATTTCCAGGTTAAGGTTCAATAACAGTTGCTTCTGTTCATTTCTATGATATTGTGGTGTATTCTAGAAAAGTTGCATCTGTTTGAATTCAAAAATTTAAACTTGTTTCGACCTACCTTATCTGGCAACTTTCAGGTAACTTGGTATGAGAATACTTAAATATAATTTGGTCATATTTAAGTAATACAGCAGGGAGTATTCCAAATGGATTTGAGAGCGTCTGTTGGAGTGCTGTATATTCCTGTTCAAGTCCAATTGCATTTGCAGGACATGAAACAGGTTCTGGCTTAAGATTTAGCTTGCTTCAAGTCCAGATGTTTCAAATAGTAGTGGTTATTTTTCCATTCTAAATGGTACTATTTTTGATATTCTATAAAGGACAATGTTTTCATGCTGTTATAAAACATAAACAAGGACAGTTAAATTGTACACGTTTTCATATGCTTAATCAGATTTAATTTGTAAACGTCATTAATATTCATGACATGTTTTTGAATACCTGAAAAAGTCTCAATTTGCTGTCTGAACAGTATTCATAACTTTAATGTTTAATGTTTAAAACAAAACATCTTTGCTGGAATGCCATAAAACAAAATACAGATTACATGGTTACAAGGCGTAAATAAAAACTTAATGTTTTTGTAGCACTGCCAATCTTTCAGCTTGCAGCTGGTTGAGGGGTTTGCCTTAAAATTGAAGGAAGAGGCCAACTAAAAATTAGAATGCAGGGGATTTTTTGGGGAGTGCAAGTAGCAGTGATTAACAATAAATATAATGTGTGCTTGCCACAATTAAAAATGACTGGAACTTGGTGGTACAGTATTAAATCACCCTATTTAATTAATTTCTCGGACAACCCCATTTACAGCACTGAACAATCTTAAAAAAACAATTTTTGTGTTGTCTACATTCCTTTTAGTAAGCATAGGGATTACACTGTTTAAGGATGGCTTTTTGCCTGATAACATTATGCAGTTAACATATTCAAGAAAGTCAAAACAATGTACCTGTGTTTACCTCCTGGTTAAAATAAAGGAATTTTTCTGAAGTTTTATTTATATAATATGCAGGGAAGGAAGCCAAATATCCCACTTTTCTAAAAATTAAAAACTATAATATGTCTATTGGATTGAAGTTGCATGATTTCCATCAGTTTGAATGCAGCATTATGCATATCAGCATAAAAGGATGTTAAAGCTTTAAGGCAGTTTCTGTCAACTACTTTTGACAGAAAAATATTGGTTGCTGTAGCCTCATCAGAATACCTGATTTGCATAGCTCGTGCTTGTCATAAGTACTTGCTATAGCAAGACAGTTTGTTTCTGACAATTGTGCTATCTTCTCAATGTGTTGATAGAACAGATAAGACTTCTAATGCCAAAATGTTACAAAAAAATTTCAAATCCTGCCTCTATCTTTTGTAAATACAGTACCTAGAAAATCGACAAATGATATAATCAGTTGTAGACTTTGTAACTAATTTTGTTGCACAATTGATATATTGCATTAATGCAGCTTTTGTACACAAACAGCCCTCCACCTTTTCTCCAGACACGTGTGATCCTAATCTGCACAAAATGTCATAGATAACTAATTTCCAAATTGCTCATATACCCTGTGGATTAAATTTTAATAGTGGGTCCCTTGCTATACTTGAGTTGTAAAAGTCCATTGAATCAGCACTATTTATTTTTGGACGTGTGCTGCAAATAAATGTTTTGTACTTCAAGACTAGAATTAAGCATTACAAGTGTTTAAAGGTCGGAGGTTTGCAGATCAATGTAGTAAATTGACTTACATTAAGTATACAACTGTTACCAAATACATAACTGTTGGAGGACTTTTCTATTTAAGTTTATATGTACATGTTGCAAGACCAATGTAATCAAAGAGAAAATAGTTTTTGTTTATATTGCATATTTTTCTTATAGCCGAATGAAACCCACATCTCATTGTTTTGCCCCATTAGTCATATTTTAATGTCTAATGTGGCATACGTTTTTTTCAGTCCTTGTGTAAAGAAATACCATGGTATGGATTTTATGACTTTTGTTGAAAAATTAGCTTTGGTCCTTCCACTGCATTGATCAAGCTGTTTGCTGTTTAGAAAAGCAGTTCAGTGAATGAAGAAACTAGCCCAAAACTGAGACATGATCTTTTTGGAAGCCACTCTGTAAAATCACTACTAACCACAGGCAATGTAGAATAACACTTTTTTTTTCTGATATTATAAGGTATGCTTAATATCATAATTTGAATGGTGTTTTGAGTTTGGTCAGTTATGATTAATCCAAAGCTGCAATATTCACAAAGTCCATTCATCTTATTGTACAGCATTCAACCTTTTGTGTAATCACACTAGATGGACTTTGCTTGTCCAACGTCACTTTGAGGGCAATTAGGAATGGGTAACAAATATTCATCTTGTCAATGATGCACGCATCCCATGAGAAAGGAAACAACTTCAGAAATTGGATAATATAATAAATGTGCATGGTTAACTGAAAACTAGTAGATATTGCTTGACAATCTGTATTCTTTAAATGCTAAATTGTTTTGGGGAGCAATTGAGTGAAAGTATACAGTGAAAAGAAAAGCAGAATGTACCTTTTTGGTCATGGCCAGTGTTCAGTGTTTGTAAGAGAAGTGGAATGATGTATTTATGTAGGAGTAGGGGAACATTCAAAAGGACATGCTTAGATAAGGAGAGCCAAATGTGGGAAAGAACAAATTAAATAAACCTGTACGTTTTAATGAACCCAAAAGACTGCAATGTCTATGTTGATTTATAGGAAATACTCAATACACCTATAGTATTTCAACTACATGCATGGAAAACAACAGATTGTTACATGAGTACAAATAAAACTTTGAAATTTAAAAACCATGATTATTACATACATGCAAATAAGCTTAACATTCGTTATTAATTTTGTACGAGGCAAGTAGGTGAGATAAGCAGTGTAATATGATAAATTCACCTTTTATATGATAGTTCTGTGCAATAGAAAAGTTTATCCTTGCTTCAATTTAGCAAGATTCTTTACTGGTTGGATATTCAATTTGTGGAATGATTTTGGTGGAAAAGACTTTTTAAGTTTTAAAAATCTGTGACATGTACTTCAAACTGATTAGTGTGGGATGTTGTTAATTGATTTGGACCATCGCTACTTATGCCTCCGTAAATTCAACCTGCTGACAGTCTGGCAGAGTTGGATCCTCACCAAAAGCAGCCTTAATTATAACCTTAATGTTAGTGATCACTTCAATCCGACAAGATTCGTAGCAATTTGTTCAGATGAAACCATTTTCTTCAGCATAGGGGAAGAACCGATAAAATGATCATAGAATGGAATCCCTACAGTGTGGTAACAGGCCCTTCGGCCCAGCAAGTCCACACGGACCCTTAGAGCATCCCACCCAGATCCATTCCCCTATAACCCACCTAATCTACTCATCCCTGAACAACACGGGCAATTTAGCATGGCCAATCCACCTAGCCTGCACATCTTTGGACTGTGGGAGGAAACCCCCGTTGACACGGGGAGAATGTGCAAACTCCACACAGACAGTCGCCCAAAAATGAGTTAATTCATGGAAGTTGCTCTTTCAGGCTATCTGTGAGGCCATGTTGACAACTGCTTGCTTAAGGTGAGAATGAAATTGACAGTAACATAGAAAATTACTGTGTGTATGTGTGGTGACCAAAAAGGAAGTTGTTCATCTGTATTTCACATACAACTATTTGTTTGTAGCCCTGTATATTACATAATTTCACATGCATATCCCAGTAGTTTAAAATTTGATGAGGATATCTGACTCTATTGCCCTTTCAGAACACCACGCTTCTCTGGGTAAAGACATTTGTTCTCGATTCCCCTCTTATCTTTCTGCAGAATACTTTTCAATCGATGCAGTTGCCTGTTAGTAGAATGGATGGAAATGACTGTTTCCATTCCTCCACCTGTGGGAGA